GGTAGTTTGGCTCGCTTGTGTGAGGCAGGTACCAAACATGATGTATTTGAGACCGGCACTCTAAACTCTGTTGATATAATTGGGACCAGATGTCAAGGAATGGGGAGTTAAAATTTTTTGTAGTCAGCTGAGAGTTGCTGTGCATGTTCGTTAACTTCTAGCCGCCATGTGGAACAGACCGCTGTTGCTGTACCGGACTGACCACGAGGGCATGACCTAGGGGAGAGCACGAGCGTAGGACCCTTAGCATAAGCGTGTAGGAAAAGGAATACGTGGCAGCTGTCGCGAACATGAAACAGGTCCAGAGATAGAATGGAACGTTCACACGAAGTTTTCAATAGTCTAGTTGTTTCAGGAAATGTGTTTGTGGTATTGGCGGTAGTATCACAGTCACAACTCAGAAGTACCACTGATTACCTCATATCGTCGCTGGCCATGGCCGACTTGCTCATCATCATCTTCTGCCTTCCAACCACATTGCTCAACAATATTTTAACAGGTGACCTTTACGGACTACTGTCAGGCGAATAGCTACCCGAAATTTTTTTGCAGCTCTTTCCAATTTCGTTGAGAGGCTGTGTAATAAAAGCCGCTCATAAATCTACTTGGTCCAACCTAGTATTATGCGCAATCTTCCAACCTTACGACTTTTTCAAACTTTGGAAATGTCGCTTCCAGATGTAGCACCGGGGCTCATCCCAAACGAAAATAGTGCTACTAAATGTTGCTGTCATCATTCAGGATAAAGTACTAGTTGCAAAAGTTAAAGTTCGATCTCCTATATCCAGGGGCTATGTTCAAGGAAGTTGCTATAATCCTGCTTCAAGTTGGTCACATTATCGAATACCTCGAACATTTTTTGCTTCCCCTTCTTAGTACTGAAACAGGTGGTGATCTTATCGGGCTTCTGGATTTTCTCACGAGTCATCTCTACCACAAACGTAACAACACTGCTAAGGAAAACCTAGGTAGCTTGTGGTTTTGGTTTGCTCTGGTCTGCATCAGCTTATTGTGAATAGAGCATGTTCATTCAATAATAGGCTGGTTCTGTGAGACTTAGTAGCGATATTAATATACCTTTTGAGCGACTCTGAAAGTATGATGAAATATGAAAGATAAAGAAAACTTTCGGGTTGCGCACTGCGGCGTTAAACAGCAGTTATCAAATAGTAACAGGCTCAAGTCTCTAAAGAGGTATGATATTTGGAGTGGGTTATACAGGGTGAGGCGCAGCTAAAGTGGCACGACCACGCTCGCGGTCCAGTGGTAAAATCACGGATTGCTTCCCGCCTAGGCCTACTAAACCTTCTGAACTCCGGGGACGTTAAACTGGTACCAGACTTCTTAGTATTTAGTTTTTCTTGGGATTCTTCCGCGAAGCGGCTTTTTTGCCAATATTGTGCGAAGCTCCCACCGCACAGCTTCTGCACAGAATGGACCCCATTACATGCTCGCGCCCCAGATAATTCCGCCCCTCTTTGTCGGAAATACTAAAAATACTAAATAATACTAACATGGTACCAGATTTGTTTGCAAGCATAAGAACAGTATTCTGTACATCGACTAGCCCCGCAGGCCATTGTCTAGGCCACTTCACATTCAGTAAACCTCTTCGGTGAAAATGAATGGAAGTGGAATGCGTGCCGTATGTTTCATGAAAAAGGGACACATTTACGGTGAAGACTGTATCATTTTTCATCCTTTCATGGCATTCATTTTTCATCCTTTCATGGCATGCATGGGGCGTGTTCCCCGCGTGCATTCAACTCAGAGAGCCTTTTATCATATATTGTAGCAAGACTGTAAACTGTATCCCAAACTTTCAAAAGGAGTAAGCAAGACGAATAGTTTGGCTTTATTTGGCTGAATTCCATACCTTGCGTACTGTCACACTAGTTCTGTCGCTTGAAAGGCAAGCCTCTTCCTTGAAGGTCTTTCTTGTCCATCGGTGAGATTTGTACCGAGACTGCTATCCGTACCCTATGTATCACCCAAGTGGACGGCACTACATCCGCCCATTGCGCTGCGACACCTCTCCTAACATGTAGTACAAAAATTAAATCCTTCTCAAAAGCGAGTTCTTTTTTAAGTGACGTGAAAATTTCATGACTTGAATTCCAGATTGGCAACTCGGCGCTTTATTTTGTAAATTATCCACATGGATAAATGCGACAACATCGTGTGCTTCCATTTATACTCTTGTTGCAGTAACAGCTGATCGATACTTGGCAATTTGCCATACGCTTAAGTAAGTGCAGACTGTTACTAAAAAGCTACATTCACATGCTTAGATTTACACGACTTCAGGTATACACAGTGGGAAGCTGGGTACACATTGTACGCGATTGCTGGCATTTGGATTGTTAGTGGATCGCTGGCAACTCCCAGCTTGTATGGCTACGATGAGGTGGGCAGATGAGAGTCAGAGATAGCAGCATTTTACCAAACTGCTGATTATTCTATCACTCGGCTAATGTTTTTCTATTTACAGATCTACTTTGAATACGGTAACAACACGGTATGCGTGTGTGCGTCGAGGACGAATGAGAAGTTGCAATTCGTGGTAGTTAACCTGATTCTGGCCTTCATCGTTCCATTTGCGCTCATCTCCGTTTCCTATACGAAGATCTTCTACACCGTGTCAAATCATCGAAGTCTCGCCGTCGATGCTCATGTGAGTGGTACCTTTGAGAATTCGCCGTTTTAATTCGTTCATTAATCCCTTTACCTTGGAAAGGCGCGCCACGAGACCTCTCACAGCATTGAAATGATAATTGGCCCAGTTCGGCTCTGTGGGGGTACCTTGATGATACTTAGGCAGGACATTCTGTGGAAGACCTGTCACTACACAGCCTCAAAAAAAACGTCACGGGTCTCACCAGATTGAGCCCTGCTGCTCAAAGAGATTTTCCGCGCTTGAGCAACTTGTAGGCGACCTTCCATGTACGAGAAGTCAAGCCCTCAGTCTCTAAGATCGTCCAACCTTCGCGGCTTCACATAAGTGAAGTAGGCGCTATGGCTCTCACAAGTGGCAGTTCCCACGCCTATCCAGTTTTCCCGCCACCGTCCCGTTTTTTCGGGTTGCTAGATGATGTGGAGGATGATTGAGCTATGTAGAAGTGGCACGATATAGCTTTGCTGGTATAAAAACGAGCAGGTCCGGAGAACTCGTCCAAAAGGCTACCAGGTCTTGACTCAAGGCGTTCGCCACGGTTATTTTTCTCAATTTTTTTCCCTTGCAGAATATTCAGCGACCCTAGGTTTTCAAGTGAGCGCCACCACCCACAATATACAATCGGGGGGGGGGTGTCTTTGACTAGTGATAGGAAGGAATCAGCGAAATAGCAAAGTGTCCTCTCTCTCCCCTCCCCTAATCAAACAGCTCCTGATTTGAAAGATTCAATAGATTTAAATGAATGCGCAGGAATCAAAAGCGTGTCATGATCTGAAGCAAAACCTTCGAGCAGATGTGTATCCAGCGGTTTCGTCCTGATGTGTATGTATGGATATATGAGATTGTTTATTTTTTGAGAAGTGGAGGAATCCAGTGCGTACGTAGCGAACCATATTAACATATTAACGGATACCTCCTTAGTTATAGTGACCACAGCAACAATTCCGCTAGCTGAGGTTGAGGGGAGAGATGGTCGTCTTGTAGAATATTGTCAGTATGCCAAGCAATCTTGGAGAGTACCGAAACCTATTGTAAAACTACGACCAGTTTCACTTCTGTTAGACTTTCAAAAACTCTATTTTGTTCTTCTTGGGCCAAAAGGTGCGATACTCATGACGAAGGCAGATGAGAATTATGGCCTAATCAGAGGTTCAGGGAACAAATTTTCCTTGTAATGTGAAAAGTGGCACTCGCATTCAGAAAGGTCAGAAGTGGTTTACTTGCATCTTATTGACGACCACCTTTAATTAACGACCGCTTCTTCGTATTATTCTTGCCCTTAGGGAGCAATTTCGAGCATGCGAACTAACACTGAATTTTCTCGCTAACTGACATGACACAAAGTGCAGCGCCTAAAGACATTGTTGCCAATTCTTTACTGGCTGAATAATGCTCATTCATCGTGCTGCCCTGCAATGTCCCTCTGTGCCGCGCTCGCACCGACTCGGAACTTTTATATAATCTCTCCAACTCACCCTTTCCATACCTTATTTTGCCTCATCGTCAGATGCCATCGAAGCCTCGCAACAGCAAGAAAAGTTCGTTTAGTAATTGGTAATTCTGTTAGCTTCATTTGAAGAGGACACCCTTTACAAAATTGGACAGTATTGTTGACAGGGAAAATTGGCAAAATGCCGCGCGCCAACATTAGCCAGGACTGCGCAGCAACTTTACACTACCCCCTAAAAATCACACTACATGGCAAAAGTGGCCAAAAATAAGCTCAGACTGATTAATCCTATTTCGTGGAGTATAGACCGCACCCATTTGTTAGAACACACGCCACCAGGAGCGTAATCTAAGTGCGGCTTATGCAGTGGTGCGGCCTATACCCTGGGCAACAGGGCATCTTTTTTAGCAGGAAAAGAAAATAATGTGCAGTCATAAAGTCGGAAGACCAGTTTTCAGAAGAACACTTTTGTAATGCTAAGTAACTACGGTGAACATTCAGATCCGCGATGAACGCATCAAGCTGCGGGTGGCAACAATGATGTTGACGGTCATCGTAGTTTTCGCACTGTGTTGGCTGCCCTTGTACGGTGAGTTGGCTTTTCAAATTTTAAAGAAGTTCTTCTTCAGCTTCTTCCAAGGAGAATTTATCTGGAATGATTAGTTACATATAGCCGATATAGTGGCCACCATTTGTTCAGTTCAAGAGTCATCCTCAGAATCATAAAGATGCCACGTCGCTCAGACTAGCTTTCCAATTTTGAATTTCACATCAAGTGCATATCAGGAACATCAGATCTTCGTTGACCATCATGCTCTGCATAACAAACAATTTCTAATATGCGACTGACGTATTCCTCAACTTCCCCCCTCCCCTACCTCCTTCAACAGGTGGATCGTACTGACACCACCATTTCACCCATTCTAATGAAACCTGGCCTTGATCGACATAGCCATTCTTTGTTGATATCTATGACCAATAATTTCATAATTTTTTTCAAAAAAGTGAAGTTTAGTGCAACGTTTCCTAACGAGCGTGATACTTCGAATCACATCAAAATTTAGACTTTTATTAAAGGCGCGGTCCGCGATCAGGTATAGAAGTTGAAAATATGGCGTCGGGAGGGTAGTGTGGTTCGCGACAAACAACCTTGTACCGGTTTTGCGGCAAAAATTGTAAGGGAGGGACGCTATAAAGCAATGTACACTCCTTATCCCTGAGATGGAGTAGGCGTGGCATTCGAACATGGCGTAGGATTGGCCACTCGTGAGGGGTTTCGATTTGGTACGACTGCCATTTTAATCTGTGTGGACAAAGACATGATTACAACTGTCCCAATATGAAAATACCTCACGGAAAGCTTAGCCGCCTCCACGTTCAACCATTTCCAGCTTTGAAAGAATTGTAAAGCGAATTTCCCAACGGAAAATCATGTGTCAAATCATCTGAATTTATTATAAGAAAGAGCAATGAATACTAATGCTACTAGTATTATTCTCCCTTGTTGGTATGAATTGACATTACCTGAAAAATGTACGAGCGCGCACGACTCCCAACGCCTCTTATGTACTTCATCTTCACCGTTCTGGCTCCTCTATCGTTCAGGTCGGGAGCGAGGAACAGCCTCCGATGCTGGATAAGATGCGCTTCGAAATTATCTATACTAGAAACAGCAATCGGTCTCTTTCATAGAGTAAGTTAGTTTAGATGTTGCGTACGCTCCCTCATCCTCAGTACTCGCTCAGCTCTAGCTCCCACGCAAGGTAATCCCGCCCAAAAGGTATGAGACATAGGATGGACAGCATTTACCTTATACTATTAGGTTGTTCGAAAAGTCCTGCGACACTTTGATTAAATTGTTCTAGAAAAGACCAAAAATCATTTTGGATGTTTTTATCCCTGATTAGTGGAGAGTGTCCTCTGGGGTTTCTGCACATGGGTATATCATGACTTTGAGGAAGTTTTCAAAGCTTAAAAGTCCCCCAGAGATCGAGGTACTTTCTCGACCTGTCCCATATTATGAGTTCCTCTAGGGCCACTCCGCCGTAGTCGAGGAAGCTGACACCTACGTTGTCTTGAGGAAGGATATCGCTTGCCATGGCAGAGGGTAGCTTTTGCATCAGCGCCTCTAGGCTGGACTTATTTAACTCGTAGTTAGGCAATGTATAGGTCGCCCATCAGCACAGAGTGACGGCCCTTTACTCAAGCTTCTTGAGGCGCAGCCGAACGTACCGGTAAGTTGGCGACCTCTCTAGGCTCCACCTGACTGACAACTGCCATGCTTCTCCGCAATCTCGGTTATCGGAAAAAATTTTTGTGAAGGATGCCTCATGAGTTGGACCCCGTCTGACAAGCTCCATACGACATGACGCTGACTGAGTATTTCCTTGTACGGCAGCGAAAGAACTTTTGGGAGGATCTTGTGTTGGGTAGCGAGCGTTTGGAATCCTGCTTACTCATGCACATGTCCCTCGCAGGATCTCTCAAACAGTAAAGTAGATTGCTTAGCCAAAAGCAGATGTGCATGGGATAAAGATTTCAGTGTGTTATTGGTGGGACTTCAAAGCGGTATCACTGGATTTTTAAAACTCGTAGTAAGACATAGTCCACCTTAATCGACTTCAAAATATGGATGACGTCACGCTTGAATTCATTCAGAAATACTCAATTTTTCTCTACTACTCGGTAATGCGAGGACCGCATGTGGGGATCAGGCTACGCCAAAAGATCATGGATTTCGATCGGAGAATGCTACCGTACCCAGGTTATTTAACAAAGTTAGCAGCCTCTAATTATCACCTCCTTTGGGTCCCTAATCGCATTCTTATAGAAAGCAAAAAATTTCCGGAAGAAGAGGTAGACCTCCAACTCGGAGAGTGAGGTCTACCTCTTCTTTTTATCATAGTTGCCGTAGTTCTATGAGAATGGAAATGAGAAGCTGTGCAAAAGAAAGGCACTAGTCCTAGTCATCAACTGCGGTTTACTGTTAGATGGAGATGCTCTACCGGAAATTTTGTTCGAAAAATTTGGTCAAAGTGTCGCAGGACTTTTCGAACAACCTAATATGAACTACTATCTCTTATTGTTGTTGATAAGTGCTAAATGAGCTGGTTGAAATTTCTCAAAATGTTCCGGACACCGTAATAATTACGCAGCCGCGCCTACCGCATTTCAGGAATTTCGAGTGTGAGTTCAGTGACCCTCCTTTCCTCCAGTGCTCCGCCTTCAAGGCCCAGCCTTTCAGTGAAAAACGAAGCTGCAGGACGAAAAAGCATGAAAATCGTCACTTGTACGGTCGGGGGATCAGCTGGGCAGATGAGTGTTAGTGTTGAAGATGGAGTGAAATGGTACGTACACACTGGGGTAGGAATGGGGTTCTGTCTGGGGAGTTGGCACGTTTTTTTTTGTTTTTTCTTTACTACTGAGTTAATCAGAGAATTGTCGTCTACGTGCATACCCCTAGACCACTATCTGTGATGGGGAATGATTGCGGACTTTTCATTTGTGTCTCTGAGACTCTTCAATAACGACTTTCTCGGTATTGATCGTGTACTTGAGAGAAACATCCATTGAAGGTTCAAGTGATTAGTGTTGACTAACTCGTAGAAAAGGCTCTTCTCTGAGTAACCAGTTCTCATTTGAACGGGCACATGTACTGGTTCTTCAATGTTCTAGGGGTTTGGTAGTACTATTCTTCAAAACAAACGTACTTTTCCGAGAACAAGACACTTTAGACAGACGGGATTGGAGGAGATGGCGCTAATGGGTCCAGCGCAGAACTAAGCTAATTTCGCCCACTGCCTGAGTGCTTCGACTAGAATAAATCAAGCCAATGTCGCTCAGTGCTACTTCTCATAGACAACTTCAAGGTTGGGGAGAAACTGGCGGGACCAGCAAGGAAGCGTTTAGGTCTCGCCAAATATTTAACCGATCAGTAACCAGTGGTGAATGAACTCAATGGCCACTTATACACGTTTCCAAGACAGACCTTGGTGCAGTCAAAAATGAACAGGCAACCAGTTGCAATTCCCCAAGCAGTTCATTATCTCGTACTTTTTTTTTTTTCGTTTCCGTTTTTCCCGACTGGGCTGTGCTATCATCTACTTGTTATGTGGCCATCAATTTCCCTCAACATAAGGGGGAAAAGGATGAGGCTTGATTGATCCCCTTCTGGAACGTGACACACGTTCTGCTTCCATTCGAAAGCCGCAGTGGCGAATGTGGCATGGCCTAGACTCGACAGGTGTCGACCGACTTTCACTTCATACGCACATCGTTGTTGGGGAATCCCCAAGTAGGGGGTCGTATTTGGTCGCCAGGAGGGGGGGTCGTATTTGGGCTGAGAAAAATTTATTTTGATAGTTGATTTTTCTCGCTTCATGGACGTTGTAAGGGGGGGGTCGTACTTGGTCATTTTTTTGGAGGGGAGGGGGGGTCGTATTTACGTTTTGGCGTTGTGGGAGTGGCGGTTGACTTTTGGTGATTTTCCTGTTTCACGTACTATATGCCCCCCCGCTCGACAGCAAAATTTTTGGTAAAAAGTACTATATGCCCCCCCCGGTCGACTAAAATCCCCAACCAGTGATGTGCCCTGGTACAAATTTCGGCACTTATTTTTTTTTTTTTTTTTTTTTTTTTTTTTTTTTTTTTTTTTTTTTTTTTTTTTTTTTTTTTTTTTTTTTTGGACACTCTTACTACCCAACCTTCCAGAATTGACCCAATTTTGAACCGACTTTTTCTATGTGGACAGATTTGGCTCAAATGTTGTCTCCTGGGGTAGTTTGACCTCCTGAATACGAATATCGCATTCGCTCAGCCCGAAACTTCCTTGGCACGCGCGCCATAGGCGCCGGTGATTTAGGGTATCTCGGCGCCAGCGCCTGTAGCGCGTTATTAGGGCTAAGCGGATGTGATTTTCCTGTTTAGGAGGTGAAACTACCCAGGGACAAAAGGAACAAATTCTAAGCCAGTTCTGACAACGCAGAAAAGTTGGCCAAAAACTGGCCTGTTTTTGGAAGATTGGGGCAGCAAAGGGTAAATATCGCCTAAATTTCATTAGAACATGGCCCAAGATCTGTTTTTCAAGGCTTGTTTCGTCCTCAGAATTATCATCCTGACTTCTGTCGGAGAATGGAATGACGGCAGTTGTCCCAAAATGGCTATATCCCCACCAATAACGCAACCGCCACCACTTTCAAATCAAGTACGAAGCCGCCCTTTCCCCATCTCCAGGATGTGTAGTGTGTTAGAGCTGGTGTTTCGTGTTCTGCACCTATCACCAATTCAGCCATCCCAGAGGGACTCGTGGGCGCTACAGATACAGCATTTGACCCCCGCTGTGCGTGCTTAGTGGCACCACTGGTTTTTTTCATCACTTTCGCCCTCTTTTCTGAACATGTTGAAAACAAACTGTAGACTAGTATCGCATAAATATCGCATCGTATAAATAAAAACTAAGGAATGTAAAGCTAGACGACACAGAGGGCATAGTTCAGAAAGTTTATTTCGAAGACTCCGGAGATCCTTGATGTTTATCTAAGGAATCAAATGAGCAGCGCAGTTCTGCAGTCGAATCTAATGTGTTCCCTTTCAGGCATCTATACGTACTTCTTTTTCTTTGCCGACAACGACTCCTACGTTTTCATGCTTGCGTCCCAGGTGAGCATGCTTTTTTCACCTAAATAAAAGAGTGCGGCAGTAATTGTAATTGGTCATCATAGTTGAAATCTTCGCAGTCAATCGCGTGGTTTCGGGAGAGGTGAAGTGTGCCTCCGCTTCTTTTTCTGATTTT